TATATATTCTTAATTTGAGGTTTCAGAATGAAAGAACATATTGATAGGGAGCGATTTACTTCTTTAAGCGGGGATAGTCAAACCAGTAGGTTAATACCGGATGATTTAAAAAAAAAGAACCTCCCAACTCCTAATTTCCAAACAAAACCAACTTTTTTAGCTTAGCTATTAGCTTAGAGTAAAGAGAATAAAATTAGCTGCCGATACTAATTTTACAAGCATAATACCATACACAAGGAGAAGACGAATAACGAAGCAACAGTGCAAGAAATTCGGTATAAAACAGGATCATGGCAGAGCACAAATGCTCTCCGAGTCCCTTTCAAATATTCTATATAAATTAAAACTCATTCATGTATACGATTCTTTCAATATTGCTCTCTTCTTTATTTACGTATGACAAATTGGCAATTAGTGCCCCCTTAGTGGTCTCTTTGTAGGAGTGGGGAAAAAAGGGCTCAAAAGAAGTTCGAGTGGCACAACAGTGGTCGTTTACCTAATATTCCAATTCCTATTCCTACATACAAAGGTTAGGTACCCAGGGCCATCTTCACAAAGTAGAGGTTCTATAAATTAGCTTCAATTCATATTCTTGAATCACACGTTATTTGTATCCTGTAGGTGCTGGAAGCTGTCGAGCTTGCTTCTTTCCTTCAAGATTTTCATCTGCCAGGTAATTAAATTAAAGCACAGTACTGCTTGAGTTTTAGCTAGCTTTTTCTGTGGCAAACACTCCTCCCTTTCATTTGATTGAGTACGGACTTTTGAAAAAATATACTACTACTTTTGTAACTTTTAAGACATTTATGACTATAAAAGCTAGCATAAAGTTTAAAGTTGACATATTTTAAGATATAGAAAGGTGACATTTCTTGAAATCGTTGCAATAGGCCACCAAAACCGTTGCAATAGGCTATAATATGTTTCAGAAGACAATGTAAGCCGTTGCAATAGGTCATGCAAACCGTAAGGGTGAAGCTACAACTGGACAAAAGGTAGTTAGTTGAACACTCTTCCTTGGAAAACATAACTATACTATATATATA